AGTCCCTTCAAGCGCTGTGGGCAGAGAGAAGGACGAAGCCGCTGATAGAAGCCACCGCCCCTCGCGCCCTGGACCGGAGAGGGGAGCGCAAGTGGCCGCCGGACTCCGCCCCTTACCTGGACCCTTCCTTCTTAATAAAAGCCTCTCTGAGGCCTGACGCCACACCCACTGTGTCTGTTGACTACGCCAGAGCGCGTACACACCTCACGCACCGGAAGTCGTGCGCGCGCCCAAAGACAGTTGGACATAGTGGTGTATTAGAGGTAAAAAATGATATAAATACTGTTCGGTTTCTCGCACAAACCGATCGTTTCATGTCTTAGGACATCAATGTGTCGTCACGAGCCGCAGGGTTTAATTTTGATTTGTCTGTGCATGTTTTTTTTTACTCTCATAGATTTTGTTACCATTGCCATGCATTATAAGACTGATAGACTGCAACGGTTGGACTTAAAAATCATCAAATGTGTTCTACTGAAGAAACAAAGTCACCTACATCTTGGATGCCCTGGGGGTAAGCAGATAAACATCACATTTTCATTTTTGGGTGAACTATCCCTTTAAGGTAATAGCCTCCAAATAACCGTGATTAATAATCACGATTAATAATTAAAGAAAAATGTGTGATTAATTAGTTAATTTTTTTAAATCGATTAACAACATTAATTTATATATTTCTATGTGTCATAAGAACTAACTTGATCAAACCTCTGTACTGCTTGCATTAAACATTTTTGAAATACTGTAAAAATCTAGTTTTCAACACTATTTTTCACAAGGAACAACGAAATTGAGTTGCTTTCACTTTCTTTATGTGAGCGAGTATAGCAATGTATAGTATACTAAAAAGTTGTTTTATTAAAGGGGTCATATGATGTTGCTAAAAAGAACATTATTTTGTGTATTTGGTGTAATGAAATGTGTTTATGCGGTTTAAGGTTCAAAAAACACATTATTTTCCACATACTGTGCATTATTGTTTCTCCTCTATGCCCCGCCTTTCTGCAACGTGTCGATTTTTACAAAGCTCATTGGTCTGAAAAGCGAGGTGTGCTCTAGAATATCTCTTTGGATTTGAGACTTTAGTCTTTGCAACTTTACAGATCTTCTTTATGCACCAAGAGCTTGTAACACACAAAGAGAAAGGAAAAATTGAAATCGCATCATATGACCCCTTTAAATAAAAGTGATTATTGGAGTATTTAGAGGAATGTACGATTTCTTTTTTTCTACTTAAACTTTAACATTTAATTTAATGTTACTCTCAGTTTCTTTATAATTTACTAGTAATTGCTTAATAAACTGTTTAAACACCAATATTTTTTCCTGAACGTAAACAACGCTGATTACGTTCTGGGGTTCTCTCCAAAATGGCGGAAGACGGTAACTCAGGGACAAGACAAGATTACATTATCTAAAAAAAAAAAACTTTGGTTTTATTTTTCAACTTGTTGATGTTTATACAAACTCAAAGACCTGTAAACTAGTAGGTGTGTTCGACTTGACGTGGACCGACTGTGCAGTGCAGACCGATTTTACAGTACCACGAGAGCTAAAGAGAGCAGACTGCTCCATGCGCTTTCGAATCGCTTTCGTGGATGTCAAACACTAATCGATCTGCGTCGCACCTCTTCTAGTTGAACACACCAGCTAGTGCTGCAGGCTTATTGGCTCACTGACGCTGATGAGATTAACCCCTTAGACGTATTCTTAAAATGCATTCAAAATTCTAAATAATTTGTAATATATAATTATTCACGGTATTTAGAATTGCCCACGATAACAATATCGTGCATATTCATTACCGTGATATATCGCATTACCGAATACTGGCACAAGTCTACTCGATAACCAGCCCTAAAGAATTGTTGAATAAATTACGTTGTTATTGTTTTCTTTGCGCACAAAAAGTATTCTCGTAGCTTCGTAAAATTACGACTGAACCACAGATGTCACATGGACTTTTTTACCGATGGCCTTACTACGTTTCTGGACCTGGGAACATTGCAGTTGCATTGCTGTCTATGGGA